TATCTTGCCATGCGGCGCGCTCCGGTTCGTTGAGACCGCTGACTGAGCAGTCCTACGTGACACAATTTTTTTAAATTGCGTTTTGACCCCCAGTTTCTGATTTTTTTAAAAAAATATCATCCGAACCCAAATTTTCACTCATTTTTTTTCAAAATTATTTTCAATTTCATCATCAACTTATTTTTTCTATAATTTCATATTAAATTAAAATTTATAAATTTCAAAAATTGATTTTTATACATTTTTTTAATGCTAAAATTAATCCTGAACCAAATTACGGGCCCGGGTATTACAACTACAAAAAAGAAATATTGAATTCTTCAAAATTATAGTAAAATTACATTACACCCATTAGAAGCATTTTTTTTTCTTTTTTCTTTTTTCTTTTTTACTATGAGCACCAAGATTAGTAAAGTCACCAAGTTTTTGACCTTGACTCCACCACTTGATTCCATGAACATCAGTATTAATGTTGTAGTGGGAGTTATTAAAAATGTTTTTTATGTGGGAGTAATTGAAAATGTTCTTTATTTGTTAATGAAGTTTAATTAATCTCATTAATTGAACTTTAAGATTAAATTGATATATAAACTCCTCGAACCACTTGAAGTTTAGGAAAATATTCTTTATGTGTTAGAGTTGTCCGTGTTTGTTGATTAGGTTCATGAAATTATTGACTAGTAAAGAGTGTCTTCCTCTCTAGAAAATAAGGCATGTGAGAATCACCTTCCTTACTTTTGCACATTGTGACGAAGTTGTTGAAGTTAAAAGAGTAGTGAGTCTCGCAAATGATGCATTACTTGGGGAGGGGGAGGGGGAGGGGTGGTGGGAGAATCCTTGTAAAAAACTCGGTGAGCAAAGATTAGAAGAACTTGATTAAACAACTTGAAAAACATGTGAATCAAGCACCATTGTTAGAAGGGTAGAAAAATAGGAGCTTGAGTTCAAAAGAGGCTGTGTTGGGAAGAAGTAGTTGTCATAATGGAGGCATGTGATCAAAAAGCAACGAAAATGAAATTAATTTGCACTAAAGATTTTCAATCGTTTGAAAACTCTGGAAATAATTGTTGTGACAAGTTTACTAGAAATATCTCGTCATTTAAGTAATGAGAAAAGAAGTATAAATGGTTGCAGACTTGTGTTATTAGGTAAATTTAAGAAAAACTTGGATGCAGATGTTTCAGGAAGAGAATCTGCAATTTATGCGAGGAAATTTTATAGTATTTTAGAACAGGAGATGAAGAAAGTTGTTTCGCTGGCAAATAAGTTTCCAAGAAGTGATTTACTTCCTTTAAATTCTGGAGTTACGAGGTTGAAAAATATGAATTTGACATGAAGATTTTGGTTGAGGGTGTTCCATTAAAAGTATTTGTGCTTTGTTTCTTCAAGTTTATTATTAATTAGATCGGTAAAGTGGTGAAAATCAATGAATGGGGGTATTTCAAACATTATATTGAATTCATAAACCATGATTGACATATAATAATATGTTATAATTCCTATAAGAATTTGAAATGTTTTTTTTAAGAGAATAAGTTTTTAATTAACAAATTCTATGCCTAGATTTTTTTTTTGTCCGTTGTACTTATATGAGAGAGTATTGGATAATGTCAAATCACAAATTCATAACTTAATTTAATATGATCAAATGACATACAGATAATTCATTGTAGGAAAAAAGTTATTTTCTCTTACATGTAGTCATGAACTCTTATGGTTAATAATTCATAATATAAAATCATACGATATTATTTCTTCTATACTAAATAATGAATTTTCAGGTAACTACTGATATGATTTATAAAATTGAGTTATGCTCAATAATTAGTCTACTTATGACACATAGGAGGGACCTTAATATCTTAATTACAAAGTATGAAATATTTTATGTAAATCAACCATGTTCAAACAAATATTTTTTTATATATATAAAATAGAAGAAAACAAAGCAAACAAACAAAGTAGAGAGATTAAGTCTAAAAAGATTAGCGCAGGATGTATTACAGTGATCGATATAAAACAATCTCTTTAACTCATCAAGAAGATACTACTTTAACGATGAATATAACTAACATGAACATCTTTGTAACACCCACTAATTTTATAATTTTTATTTTTGTTATTATTAATTTTTTTTATTTAGTTTCTTTTATAATTTAATAAAAATAAAAAATAATAATAATGATAAAATTAGGTAAAAATATTATTTGGATTTAATTGAAATTGATTTTGGAAAAAAGGGGTGAAAATTAGGATTCTGTGGGTATTTTTGAAAAGAAAATCGGAAACCGGGGGTCAAAATACAATTTAGAAAAATTGTGCCTCGTCAGCGCCACGTCAGCAGCCACGTCAGCGGCCCAGTCAGCAGCCCTGGCCAACCAGGACCTGCTGCATGGCAAGGCCACGCCGACCCGGGAACGGGCCACGTGGGTGATCCGCATGCGCGCGATCGGACGGCCCAGATCAAGCATGCGCACGGACGGCCCAGATGCACGCGCACGGACAACCCAGATTCAATCAAGTACGGACGGCCCAGATTTAATCAAGATGGACGGCTGTGATTAAAAGGCAAAGGGTATAAATAAACCCCCCACACCTGACCACAAAAACCCTAGCCGCCAGCCCTCGCCGGAGAAGACGAACCAGACGCCGGAGGAGCCGGCCGCCGCCACCCGCTGCCGCACCGGGGAGTTTTCTGACCACCGATCGAGGTAAATTTCATACTCCCAGCTCGTTTTTCAATGCTGAGTTCCCCTGTGGCCAAATCAGAGCCAAAATCCCGGCTAAACGGCCGAAAAACACGGCCGAAACCCAGCGGCGCCGTCGCGCCCCTCCTCGATTTTTGCCTCCGATGAGGCCCTTCCCGGCCTCCGTTTGATACAATTTTTATATCACCGTGATCACCATTCTTTTCTCTACAGGTTGATTGGAGCCAAATCACCAAAACACGAACCTCGTCGGAGAGCCGCCGCACTCGAGAGCACCGCCGCCGGTAAGCTTCGATTTTTTGTAATTTTTTGGCCCCCCGAGGGCCCTAGGGTTGTTTTATCGCAGGGACCGATGCAAGTGTGGCCGAATTCGGCTGGAAACGACCGAAAACGGCCAACTCGAGGCGAATCGCCGCCGCTTGCGGCGGCGCCGTCGCCGGAGCACGGCAGAGCCGCCGTGCCGAAATTGCGATATTGGCCGAAAGGGTCCCTGGGTCTAATTTGGAATTTTTGGGACACGTGCAGGTACCAGTAGTGCGTTTCAGTTCCCCGAAAAAAATTCAGAAAAAATTAGGGACAGCCTGTAGGCTCACTGTATAGCCGTATTCGGACCCCGAAACAAGTAAGGACCCCTCACCCTATTTCCTATCACGGTATTAAAGTGCAATAAATGATAAAAAGGTATTTCATGAATCAATAGCTCTGTGAAATTGTTTAAGGTTGCTAATGGAGCCCGAGTCTAGTGTATTTGTCGGTCAGTTGCTGTTTGTTCTATTTTACAGTTTTCAATGCAGTATGAGGTCTGATGTTTTCATTTCATAGTTTCGTGTGCATATATCGCTGTTTTATTTATTATGGGTTGAATGACTGAGAACCCGATGTTGTATGTTGTCTTGTTTGGCATAAATTATTGGTTTACTTGTTTGTGTGTGATTTGATGATGCTGACTGAGGAAAAAGGGGAATAAAAAGTTATGTAAATTGATAATTGTATAATGTGGTCAGCCTGACTAAACATCCTGGGAGATGGTGGACGGACCGGGTCCGTAGAAAATCCTACCGGGATTGTGGTCTCTCATACCGAACGGGGTATAGGGACCTTATGTGTTTTGGTGTCCATACCGGACGGGGTATAGGGACGGCCCGTTTCACCCTCATACCGGACGGGGTATTGAGGTTTATAGTTTTTGCGCCCATACCGGACGGGATATGGGGACGGCCCTGGAATTTGATTACAAGTGTTAAGGGTTCACAGGTAGCGGGACCCCTATGGATCCCCATGGATACTAGTAGGCTGATAAATGAGGAAAAATATGTTGTGTAATGATTGAAATGCAAAATGCGTGATAAGTATTATGTTATACAGTTCATATGATTTCATGATGATGAGAATGTTATTGCTTTTGTATGTTGTTTTATGAATTTCACCGAGGTAAGTGGACAGTAAAGGATTTTATTATTGATAAAAGAATTTGTTATAAATTATGCTCCATTGGTCTTTTTGTGTTTTCTACCCACCTTTACCTCCGTGGCGGTGAGATAGTGTGATGTCTTTACTGGGCTGGTGTAGCTCATTCTTTATTTAATCATTTCATACCAGGAAGACATTGTTCCCGAGCCCGTTCCGCAGGAAGACGGCGAAGGGGACGCCTGAAGACTCCGTAGTTATATTTATAGTTTTTATTTTCGAGTTTCTCTTTTAGTTAATTTGTTCTTTTATACTTTGAGCACGTTTTTGGTTTTAGTATAAGGGATGTTAATCAAAATTTTTATTACGGTTCCGCATTTGACCTTTTTAATACACATATTTCATTTTAAAATTCTGGGGCCGTTACAATCTTAATCGTTATAAAAAAAAATTATGAATATAAATAATAGAATTAAAATATGAAGTATTATAGATGAATCATCTGTATAATAGTTGTTTAAAGTAAGAAGAATTAGCTTCAACGATCAATTTCTTAATACTTAAAACAAAACTAAGCTTGAAGTTTCCGAGGATGCCAAAGATCTCAAGAGCCAAAGCATCACCAAGCTTATGTTGTACATAAACTTACTCATCTCCCATGACTATCTCTAACATTTTCTTTAACTAATTTTATGCATGAATTTTTGCTTTATACGTTCATTCAAGTGTTTACTTGTTGAAGCCGATTCCAATTTTTGTAACTTCGCCATGTAATTTCTTTTTTAAGATAAAAATTTTCCTATTCAGTCTACATAATAAAAAATATGTAATATAAAAATTTCAGGTATGTATAAAATTTATCCATTAGTTTTTTAATTTTTGTTTAAATTAAAAAAAGAACCTACGTTACTACATTGATGGAGCTTCGGAATTTCCTTTAACCGTTGGGGTCAAGCTTCGACTTTCAAGTTCTAAGCTCGGAAACGGGACTGAACAGTTGAATCCTGGATGCTTATCGTCCTTCCCAAGCTGCAGAATCCTTCTTCCGTCCTTCCTAAGCTGCAGAATCCTTCTTCTTTCCCTTTCTGTCGCTTTCCTTCCCTTTCCTTCATTCTTTCCTACCTTTTCCTCCTTTTTTCCGTGCTTGCAAAGGAAACTCGAAATTGTAAGGCGAAATCGGAAGAGAGGGAAAGAGATAAGTGACTAAAGGAGGAGGAGGAGGAGGAGGAGGAGGAAGAGCATGGGAGATCTCATAATATGGTTGATTTCCTTCTTCTTGCTTATTTCGCTACTCGTCATCGTCGTTTACCAGGTTTTCTTCCCATCAAAACCCTAGATTTTCTCTCTGTATCATAATCTACTGATTACTCATATTTTATTTTAATTATGGGCATATTTTGTAAGTTCTTATGGGTTAATATATATATACGTACACCTTTTTCAATTCATTAATTTCATAACCAAGGCAAAATCACGGATTTTTTTCCTTCTGTTTTTCTTGTTGAGTTCCTGATTACATTTAGCTATGCGTTTTAGAGTTTGAGAACCAAAAGGCTGTATGCAGTGTTCAGCGTAGCTGCAAAATAATACAAATTATTAGTCAATTTAAGAAACAAGTTAGTTTTGATAAATTTCTCTGAGTTTGTTTATCATAAATTGTTCGGACTTCGTTGCTATATCTGAGCCATGCCTCCCCTGGCTCTTGATCTCTTTCTTAAAACAATGTTAGATTCAAATTGTAAGTTGGCTGGGGTTAAAATTTTGACTTCAAAGAATCCCTGGGGACATATTTGAAACTCCCGGAAGTCTTTGCTTTCTTGTAGTTAACAAGAAAAGGGGTAAATAAAGCCTCTGGAATTTGCTGAGTTTTTCCCGAATTGCCTTTTTGCTAGCGTTTTCAACTATAAAGGAAAAAACTCGGACAGAATTGAGTAATTCAATTTTGACTTAAATACATTGCTGAGTCAGCATATTGCCCTGTGTCCTATCAAGGGGATACATTCCAGCAATTATCATTTTGTAAGTGACTCAGGAGCCTTGCTGAGGATGTTGACCCTTCTAAGATAAATTTTTTTTGGCAAGTTAATATTTTATACGAAGATTATTTCTTGTTGTCTATAAGATTATCTAATGTGTTTACCATGGATATACTGGAACCACAGTGTTCAATCACCTCATACAATAAATTCACTGGCTAGGTGTGAGCAATGCATGTATTGGAAATGTGGTATTTACATCTTGGTTATTCATATGGTTGACATATCTCAAGCTTCTTACTTAAACGAAGATCTAGGAATAACATGTACGCACGTAGTAATAAGTGCTTGTTAATCCAGTATAATAGTCTGTGGATGGAAAGTTTAACTCTTGAATGAATTTGCAGCTTATGTGCTTGGCAGATCTAGAGTTTGATTATATCAACCCATATGACTCGTCATCTAGAATAAACAAGGTGGTTTTGCCAGAATTCATAGTAGAAGGAGTTCTCTGTTTCTTCTATCTTATAACAGGACACTGGTTCATGTCACTATTATGTGTGCCATACCTGTACTACAATGTGAGACTGTAAGTTTTCCTGAACTGGTTATTCTACTGAAGTATTATCTTATCTGTTTTAACATGGCTATGGCAATCTGAGTGTGAAAAATCCATTTTATATGTCACTGGCTTGGAGTCAAGTTCAATCCTCACTTATCACAGGGAGTGAGATTGTCCCTTGTTGATATAGAATCCTTGCTAGCTAGGAATATCTAATTTGTACAGTCATTTGATTGATGTCCTGTGTGTTATCACCTAGTTGGATTGGTAAATGTCCTATGGCTCTTGATAAGATGTTTGAGGTATTGACTCAATTCTGAAGTTTTTGGGGCTTTCTACATGTTCAAGCCTCACTCATTTATCGTAGCATGTGCTGCTCCACTTGCACTTCAATGATAGAGTCAAGTCGGCCTACATTAACCCTTCTCTAGAGCTCCTGCGCTGCTAAGATTTGCAGCAGAGAAATAACTCAGTTCTTTTTCTATAATTTTAATATAAAATGAAGCAGAAAAATTGCTAGGAAAACAAAGCATGATTACGATTTGTCTAGAAACCACAACATATCTAATTAGATGAGGAAAAGATGGTTTTATTCTTTTGTTGGTAACTGAGGGGTAGTATAGATGGGGAGGCTAAGATGGAGGAGTTGAATTGCCCTAGTAAGGGTTTGTTGAGGAAACTTTATTTGAGATTTCAGACGAGGACATTGATTCATCCCAACAAGTTGGAGGTATCTGATAGTCCTACGAATAAAAGAATGTCAAGTCAGTTCTAAAGTTAACTTGAAAGGTGTAGAGCCAATGGATCTAGCAAATCTATCATATTGACATTTTCTTCAGAGCCATGAGATGCTTGGATACATATAATCTGTAATTTGCCAGGTCAATTTCTTTGAAAACAAAAAGGGGTGACTGTTCTTGATTTTTTTTTCTCTCTACTTGTTCTCAGCTACACATCAAGACAGCACTTGGTAGATGTGACAGAGATATTCAATTTGCTCAATCGGGAAAAGAAGAAACGGCTTTTCAAACTTGCTTATATTATTATCCTTCTATTTATTTCCATATTCTGGTATGATTCACTTGCCTGCATTTTAAACAATTCATGTCTTAGTTTTCCAATCATAGTACGTAATATAACTTTAGCCTTTGTGTTTGTCTGCTAGGATGATTTATTGTGCCTTATCAGAAGAAGACGAATGAGTATGTTGTTGCATGATTGATGGCTCGTCAAGGAGCATTTAGTGCCAAACTGATCAGCTCGTCACGCTACGTTGCTGCATTATTCTATGTGGCATCTGCCGTGACTGATAGTTTATTTACACGGTTGTATGATTACGGATTTCCTGTTAATCAATTGAAGCAAAAACAAGCTTTTGTATCTTCGTAGAGCTTATCGAGGATCAAATGCTGTTATGTGGCATTGTCATTCTTGATCATTTTTCTTGCCTTGGAACTTTGAGGTGATGGGAATGTAATCACAGCATTTTTTTTTATCTAAAGTGCCACTAGTTTTGCCATTTGATTAGAAACAAGGGTAAAGCATATAAGAGGTTGCTCCAGACTATTTATGTAATATCTGAGTTAATCTTCAAACAATCTTCACATTTGGTAACATAAGTATTTAGAATGCTTTGTCTCTTTTGTTGAATTTCAGCTTCTATTTTTATACTAAGAACGCACAAGTCTAATCAAAAGTGTTTCAAAATAAAAATTGAATATGTTTTTAGCATTTGAAGCTTTTAATAATAGTGGAGTCATAAGTTGGAAGTAGATGTAAAGAGTAAAAACGAAATTTTAGTTATTATACTTAGTAGGTTTATGTTTTCTAATTTTATTAATTTATTTCTCAAGAAAAATAATTCATTAATTTAATATTTTTATAATAAACACAGTAGTTATTTATTACTAATAATTTTATAATTCTTATAAATTTTTTAAATCTTAAAAATTAAAATATTTTTAAAATAATATTTATACCTAAAAAATAAATAGAATAAATCAAAATAAATCATTTAAGTTATTAGAATAAATTTTAGAAAATATTTAATATTATTCAAATAATTGTAAAATAATTTTTTTATTGTTATATAATTTTTATTCTTTTTTGTTATCAATTTTATCATATAGTCAATATTATATTTAATCATAACTTATATTTCGATTGTTTTTTACAGTAAATTTTATTAGATATTATATTATTAGAGAAACTCTAAAAAAATTTATCTAGAGGCGATTTTTTACTGTGTGGATAGTCAGAATTTTTCTATTTTAATTGAGTGAAAAATGTTTCATATAATTGCAGCTCTCTAATTTGGAGTATGAGAACACATTAAGTCCGAGACAATAATAAGATAGGCTAACATATGGTCTTGGCGATCAAACTCGATTTCCAACTTGTGAGGGCATTCACTTATCATTTCAGATGTGTTTACTCATGTTATTTCTAACTTGCCACCATAACCTCTAATGAAGAGAATTTGTCCTTATTAGAAATGCTTTTCTTAACTTGATCTATTGCCAATTTATGTTAATAGAAAATTATTATATAAAAAAATCTAACCTTCAACAAATTGTATTTATGTAATACTCAGGATCGAAAATCGGTCCAGAATTTTTTTTTATAAGGATACGTGCAAACTCGGCCAAAATTGACTAGGTCGAGGTGAACCGCCGCCGTGGGCGACGAATCCAACGCCGGAGCATGGTGGCATCGCTGTGTCAGAACCCTAAAATTGGCCGAAAAGGGTTTTCAATACTGATTTTGAATTTTTGATGTATTTTTAGGTACGTGATGAGCATTTTAATTCCCGCAAAGAAGATTCAAGAAATCCAAGAACCGTTAAGAGGCGTAATAAATAGTACGGTGTTTCAAAATACTGATCCGGGTAAGGATCCCTCATCCTATTCTCTATTACGGTAAATTGAGGCTTAATGATGTATAATTTTGTATTTTGTGAAAGTTAGAAAAAAAAATCTTAAAAATAATTATAGATCACTAGTGGAGTCAGAATCAGTTAGTTCATATTTGTCATGATTCCCTGTTTATTTTTTTGTACTGCTTAAACTGCTTACTATTATATTGTGCGTATTTAAATTGACAATTTTTATGGTCTCTTTGGTTATTTGGTTATTGAGTTTTTTCTGTATTATTTATTCAGTATTCTGATTATTTGGTTATTCAGTTATGTCAAACTATATCGCTTGTTTGAGTGTCATTTGAATTAATCTATTATTATGAAATGAGATATTGGTATGCGTCGATGGTTGTTTTAATGATAAGAATCTACATAAATAAAAGCTTGGGAAAAGGATGGACGAACCCAGTGCATAAAAAACCCTACTGTGGATATTACTTTAATCGGACAGGGTTGAGAAGTTCCATACTAGAAGAGTTTTTGGAGATATGGTTTACTCTCATACTGGACGATGTATCGAGGCGATGATGTTTTTGACGTCCATTACCAGATGGGGTATGAGGTCAGTCAGATTAATTGTCAAATCTTGATATTGGGTCCATGAATAGAGGGATATCTCTATGGACTCCTAGGGGTCCCAGTAAGTTGCTTAAAAGTGAAGAATTGCTGATCCTGTACATGAAAAAAAATGTCATTTAGATATTTGTCTTTATAAGTTAATTTTGGAAAAAACCGTAACGGTAAGTATCGAATAAAACATTTTAAAATTAAATGAATTTTCTTAATGCAAGGTCTCCATTAGCTGTTTTCTGATTTTTACTAACATTCGATTTTCCATATCAGTGATTAGTATGATATTTTTACTGAGTTAGTGTAACTCACATTTTTATTAACTATTTCATATTAAGAAAACCAAAATCTAGATCTCGATCAGTAAGAGAGTTGTGAGTACTTCACATTCCGAACTCTTTTCAAGTGCTAGTGAAGGTTATCCATAAGATATCTATTTATTTATTTTTTTAATTACCGTTTGTCTTTTTATGAACTACGTAGAAGAGATATTCTCGTAGTCCTATTTGACATTTTAATTTATTGTGTAAGGAATGTAAACTGTAATATTATTATTCGTTTCCCCATTTAAAATATAAAGTCATTTCCTTTGAGTTTCGGGTCATTACAATTTATTTTAGAGGTGTTAGACTTGTTTACCTAATAAAATTAGGTTAAAGTTACAAAAATCTCAGAAACACAAATCACGTCTAACTTTACTTGAACAAAATTTATCTCAGGAGATTCAACGATTTTTTTTTTCACTCACATTATCCACATATCAAAATCTTGATATTATCACTTATTACAAATTAACTTTGATCATTAATTAACAAACACTCATGTAGCATGTTAGGATAGCCCGAGTCATTACCTTTAACTAACATCTTTCTTGGCTCTTGAAAGCTTGTCCATTTTCAGCTCTGATATTTTTATAGTTACTTTATTTATTTGATAGCAAAAGTACATGTCGATTTATTTCACTTAAGAGTTCTAAATACTTATTATGTGTCATTACTAAATTGACACTGAGTATTTTGTTAAATTCTTAATATAATTGAATCTTAATTCATTTTGAAAAAAAAAATATCAGATCCTTTAAAATGAGTGGCTTGTCACAAGATATTTTCTTATACTTCTAATTTTTTTTAAAAAAGTGTTGTCATATCATTGTTAATAACTCTTTCAAATATTAAGCTACCATTCACAGACAATTAGTGAGATATTAGAGGAGTTATTTGACAAATATTACACTATACAGTATATTGGATTACTTAATGACTTATTTTAATAAATCTTAGAAGTATAAGCTATATTGCATATAAAATTTTGAAGACTGACATTTTTAAAAAGTCAACAAATACAGGAATACTGATGTATTTAAGTCGTTATTTTAGTGGTATTTAAAAAGGGGAATATTTTCAAAGTATGTTCTAAATTGAAATTATTTCAAAGTTCCAGAAATTGTTGTCGCGAAAATAACATTGAGAGAAACCTGAAAGAGACCGAGAGATTCGTTAGTCAGAAAATCTTCGAGAGCATCTGCTGGAGACACTGTGCGTCTGAACCAGAATCTCGGAATACAGGTGGGTGTCGGGTTGTAAATCCCCAATTTCTCTTTATGTAATTTTCGGTAGGACCGTACTGATTTACATTTGATTATAACATGAACTCAAATCTCAAAATTAAGTGTCAAATACAAGCCCAGATTGTATATTTTGCGCGAATCCTGCAACAATGCCTATTAAATGTTCGGTGAAAAGCCTGAAAGACTGTGACACTGTCTGGAGCTAATTTATAGAATTTCGGGCTGGTAGCCAACAGCTCTCCCTCCTCTCTTAACTAAGCAATGCAGCGTTGTAACAGTTGAGTATTTTTGTCTTGTTATCCCTGTTTTAGAGGATGAGTCAGGCCATGAATATTTAGTTCAAATGTTTAGCTTGGGTAACTGCATTTTTTTAATTAGATATGTCACAAACATAACCTGAAGAGTAAAGATATAGAGGCATGCAATGATGGAACCTTTTTATTCTTGGCATTGTTGTGTGTTTGTTTTTCTGGTCATACGAATCACCAACAACTACCTTTCCTTTTTTCCTGACACATACTGTCTAAATCCTTAAAAACTTAGGAAAAGTTTGAGTTGCATATTTATGTTGAAAGTGGTTGGTGTGAGTTATGGATTTCTGGACAGGTTTCAATGTGCACAATACCTACACGAATCTGTTACCTCCTCCTCCTCCTCTTCTCTCTCCTTGAGATCATGTTTCTTTCAACTCAAGGGATGTGACTTTGTTCACGGTAGGATAAGTAGTTACATATGCATTACCATGCTTTTGTTCAATGTATGCCTATGTTTTTGCTCATGGAACTTCGGATCTGGTTGTATATCATTCCTTAGTCTAAATGCATCTAACGTGATTTAACTTTCTCGAGGAAGTATATGCCTTTGGCTAGATTTGGCCTAAGTGGGGAAGGGAAGGTCTATGTTAAGAATAGTTGAATGTGTAGTTTATTGAATATGACAACCCTATATATGCAGTTTTTCTAGAATAGAAAAGGAAATACATCATTAATCACATTAATTATATAGACTATATTTTACCACAATACCCATTAATCTAATTACATATAGTACCATAATGCCCATCATGAACCCATTCAGGATTCTAGCATTTACTGATAGGATTTGCTTCCTTATGCACACTGAGAAAGGTGCTGCAATGTGTATGTGTGTGTATCTATAGATATAGAATTGCATTTATCTGTGTATAAATATGTCTATATGTATGTAATACGTAATTATGTTCTCGCAATTGGCATGGCCAGCCACTCTCACCTTTCTTGGTTGGAATTTTTATGGTGACTATGAGCATTACCATCATTGTTTTCCTTCAATCTTACTTTTTCTTTTATATTTTCAGTGTTTTTTTTGCCTCTTACGACCGTTTATGTAGACCTAGGAGCGATCTTTGTGCCTATATGAGCTCTAACTTCTTTTGGTTGGATCTCAATCTCAACGAGGCTCAATTCTTTTTTTAAGTTGAGTTTTATCCAAGTTAAGCTCAAGCTTTCTAAATTCTCTCTCAAACTGAGCTTGAGCTCAAAATGAAGCTTGAATTGAGCTTCAAACAGAGCTTTAACTCTTCAATATTTGACCTAATGAGGTGGAATATTTAAGTATTTGGCTCTGATAATTTCGATCTCTACTTCTTTTTTTATTATTGTTTTACTCTTGGATCTATCATTTACACCTGTAATCGTCACTACTAGTGTTTGTCCCCCCAAATCTTAAGTGTGTTTGCGAAATGCAGCAACAGTTCTCTTTATTGTAGCTTTAAGCAATTGATTCTCCAAGTATGTCATGATTGAAGAATTAAAAAGTGCCCTATATACAATTTTTAAAAAACCGATGTTTGATTTCTCGGTTGGAAACTGGATTCTGTTTTTGCCTATTCAAGTTGTAAGTGTTTTAGGATCATGGTGATAAAGTGATTCATGCAGCGTTTTTTAGTCTGCTGTCTCTTTTATATTGATATTTCAAACCATTGTTTACCTCTCACAGTATAGTTAGTTGTTTTAATATCTGATCATTGCAACAGGATGTATAGGAGCATTGTAGCACTTCCACAATGGAGAGAAACAGTTGGGTGCCCTTGAATATAGGTTATGAAGAGCGTGCTCCCTTATTCCAAAAATTCTGTTGGTGAATCAAGTTGTAGTAGTTGCCCAATGATGGTAAACCAGATGGTTCCAAACCACTAGGAAGATTTAGATGTCTGGTTCTAGGCTACAGTCATTTCTGTCCAGCAATTTAACTGTTAAACAGTTCAAAGAAATCCATGCGCAAGTCCTCATAAACTGTCTTAACCAGCTTGAGCCTCTCTTGATTCATCGAATCCTTCTATTCACTCACAACTTCTCTAGGTGTATTGCACAATATGTCAAACAAATCCTTAATAATTTGCAAAAGCAGGATGCCTTCCCCTGGGGTTGCACAATTCGGTTTCTTAGCCAACATGGCCGGTTTAAAGAAGCTTTTTCTCTTTATGTCCAAATGAGGAAACTAGGTTTATGTCCAAGCACTCATGCCATATCATCAACGCTAAAGGGATGTGCTAAGATTGAAGATAAGGTTGGTGGAATTTCAATTCATGCTCAGGTATATAGATATGGATTCTGTGGTTGTGTTTATGTTCAAACAGCCCTTATTGATCTATATTCAAAAGTGGGTGATATGAAGATGGCACAGAAGGTTTTTGATGATATTATTCAGAAAAATATAGTTTCATGGAATTCAATTTTATTTGGGCATTTGAAATCGGGAAATTTGGTGGAGGCTCATAAGGTATTTGATGAGATTCCGGAGAAGGATGTTATATCTTGGAATTCAATTTTGTCAGGGTATGCAAGAGTAGGAAAAATGGATCTAGCATGCTCCTTCTTTCACCGGATGCCAGAGAGAAACCTGGTATCTTGGAATGCAATTATTAGTGGTTTTGTTGATCGTGGAAACATTGAAGTTGCAAGAACCTTTTTTGATACAATGCCTAAGAGGAATAATGTCTCTTGGATTACAATGATATCTGGATACTCGAAGGATGGTGATGTCAAATCTGCTCGGGAACTTTTTGATCGAATTTATGAGAAAGATCAATTCTCATATAATGCTATGATTGCTTGCTACTCACAAAATAGCCAGCCTAAAGAAGCCCTTAAGGTCTTCAGCCAAATGATGCAAACAAATGCTGAAATTCAGCCAGATGAGATTACTTTTGCGAGTGTTATATCTGCCTGTTCACAATTTGGAGATATGAGATTTGGAATGTGGATTGAATCATGTGCAAAAAAGCTTGGAATCAAAACAGATGATCACATGGCTACAGCTTTAATTGATTTATATATGAAGTGTGGGAACATCAATAGGGCATATGAGTTGTTTCATAGTCTGAGAAAGAAGGATCTGGTTGCTTATTCAACAATGATCCTGGGATTTGGTATAAATGGAAGGGCTGATGATGCTATTAATTTGTTCAAAGCAATGATAGATGCCAAAATTTGTCCAAATTTGGCCACCTTCACTGGACTGTTAACTGCATGTAGTCATGCTGGTTTTGTTGAAGAGGGCTACCGATGCTTTAACTCCATGATGGACAACGGACTTGTTCCTTCAGTTGATCATTATGGAATCATGGTTGATATGTTAGGCAGGGCAGGAAGATTAGAAGAAGCATATGAGCTAATAAAGAGCATGCCAATGCAACCACATGCTGGGGTTTGGGGAGCCTTGCTTCTTGCCTGCAAGGTGCATAACAATCTTGAGTTTGGAGAGATTGCAGCTCAGCATTGCTTTGAATTGGAGCCTGATACAATTGAGTATTGGACTCTCCTCAGCAATATTTATTCCTCTTTTGGGAAATGGGATGATGTCATGAAACTAAGAATGGTTATGGAAGAGAAGAAGTTGTCTAGGATGCCAGGGTGTAGTTGGGTGGAATCAATTTGACTTCTCTATATTGTAGGATCGGGGAACTGTTGGCTGGACCATGCACCAAATCCTTCAATTAAAAAAAAGTTGGTATTGTTGTTCCTCTCCCTTTAAAGCGTAAAGGTTTGGGTTGTTCAAGCCTTGGGATCAAGCAAAATGTAACGATCTAATGGTTAAGGCCTAAAACCACTTATTTTAATGCCTATCCTTGATGACTTCTGAGCATACAATTCTTATTTTGAAGTGCATAATATTACATTGAGAACCTTTCTTCTATGGGACTCAGGGTGTTCTTTCCATCGCAAATAGGTTCTTCATTTTTTTTTGTCTTCATAGCACATGCTCTCACTTTTGGTTGCTTCCTTAGTCTTCCCTTGTAATTTTTTTCCTTTCTTCTTAAGCATCTCAATATGATCTTTTCACCAAATAGTTACTTCAAATTGGAAAAAATTGTGGAAGAATGAATTTGTATCTTATTCAATATCATAACCGTATATTTAAGTTTTCTTTAGGGTATATTTTACTCTAATGCTCTTTAACCTAATTACATATAGTATACTCTTTAATACTCCCCAAGTTGGGGAATAAATATTGTCTATCTCTAGCTTGCCAATGATAATATGGAATGCTGGATTATTTTAGTATTTGGTCGATAAATTTCTAGGCTGTGAGTTGGTAGACATGTGTGGAATACATATTAGGTCACTGTCTACCTCTTCCTTAATGAAGTGTTTATCAATCTCAATATATTTGGTGTTATTGTGTTGTACCAAGTAATGAACAATGCTTATAGCTAATTTTTTTTTTAATCAATGTATAGGTGTACAAGGCCATCCCACTTGATTCTTAAATTTGCTAAAATTATTTAGTCATAGTAGTCCATGTACCTCATGAGCTATTACTCGAAAATTTGACTCAATACATTATGCTTCTTACTCTTTCAAGGAAGGGACAATAACTTATGGTAGATCTTCTATCCACTACTGATTGTGCGTAGTTTGCATTTGTATAAGCTTGTAAAAATAACTTGTCATTCTTTCTGGACATGATATATTTCTTGAGTATCTATTTTAGATAATATAATACTCAGTAGGCTGCTTATAAGTGCACTTTTTAAAAATTGTGTATGACTTATGACATTCTTTACATAGGTAATATTGCGTCTTGTGTGGTACAAGTATATTAATCTTGTAATTAAATTTTGATAGATTTTCTTATCTACCAATGTATTCTTATTCGTTAGTCCCAGTTTATGATTGAGATCAATAGAAGTATTAGCTGGTTTACATACTAGCTTGTTAGTATCCGTTAACAGGCCGTGAATGTATTTTAGTTGTGAGATGAAGATTCCTGATTTTGCATGGATGACTTCAATGCTAATGACATATTTCAACTTTCCCAACTCCTTGAACTCAAACTCAAACTCTTTTGCCAAACATTATTTGAGCGTCCATTTTTCTTTTTATTGTTCCATGTTGTAATGATATCATCAACATATACTGAGAAAACTGTAACTCCCATCTGAATCTGAGTGCTTAATAGATATGGTGTGGTCTCCCTAGGCCTGCTTATGTACCAAACTTATCATTGCCCTCACATTTCTCTTGAGCCATGCTCTGGGTGATTGTTTGAGTATGTAAAATACTTAGTTCAGTTTACATATTTTATTTGTTCCTGCCCATTTGGTAAATTTTGGTGGGATTTCCATATAAATTTCTTCTTCTAGATCTTTGAGAAATAAAACATTATTCACATCAAATTGTTGTAGTTGCCAATCAAAATGAATAGTCAAGGACAACAAGATTCACGTATTCATTTTGGTCATTGGTGCAAATGTTTTTTGCTAGTCTATCATGTAGATTTGGGTATGGCCTTTTGTCACCAGTTTTGTTTTATATATCTCAATTGACCCATTTGTCTTGTGGTTTATTGTGAATATCTACTTGTATCCTGTAGGTTTCTTTCTTTTGAATAAGTTTACCACTTCCCACGTCTGGTTGTTCTCTAGAGCTTGCATTTCAACTTTCGTAGTATCTTTACATTTCTCACTAGTTAAAATCTCATATAGTGTATTAGAATAGATTTTGTATTTAAATTCATCATTTTTTTTTGAGACTGAGAGCACTTTTAAAATGATACAAAATTCGAGATATAGTAGAGTGGATACTTATATTCTCTTATCCATTTTCTGAGTGTAATAGGTGTATTTATATGAGATGGTAAAGATTTCTCAGAGTTTACCTCATTTCCAGCACTCTACTTAGATTTGTGAACTTACTTTGGATTAGAGTTTGAATTTTTACTTCTTGAGTACACTTGGGAGAACTGTGGGTCCTGTATAGTTGAAGATTTTGGTTCATTTTCTTGGTTTTGGATTTTTTCTTATGGTATGTGTATAAGTGTATCTTGTGGTAGTATGTTGTTCAGGTGTATCATCTGGTCTCTGGGTTTCTAATGTGGTGGTTGTTTCTTGGAGAGTATAGTATCTAAGGGTAAGGGAATGTCAAACATGAACAAATCTTCTTTATCTTCTAATATATTCTTCCCCTAAATATAAGGTTTATCATAAACAGACTCGGTCACTGCAAATATTACATTACTGGATACATAGAGCTTTTGGGTTATAAGATGGTAACATCAAAATTCTTTCTGTATAGATGAATATCCCACAAACACACATTTAATGACTTTGGGATAAATTTCCTTTGTTGAGATTGACGTATGTGAATATAAAAAACATAATCGAAGACTTGAGGAATATGGTGATTGGTGGTTTGCACTTTAGGAAAGTAAAGGTAACTAAAACTTCTATAAGACTACAAAAGTGTAGTATCTAGGATAATGACACGTTGATAAGATAAATTGTGGTTGAAATGACTTCTTCCTAATATTTGCTCATATGATTTTGAAACAAGAAAGCACAGGTACTTGTAAACAGGTGATTGTTTTTTCGTTCTACCACTATATGCAGAGTGTAGACGCAAGAAGACTCATGATTGATTCTTTCACTTTAAAAAAAGGAGGATGTTGTCTGACTAAATTAGTTATGAGCATTATCGGTTCGAAAACATTTGATCTTTACTCCAAACTAGGTTTTGATTATGTTGTGAAATTGAGTCGTAATGTGACTAATATCATATTTGGATTTGAGCAATAAAAGATAAGTTATTCTAGGACGAAGAGATGAGCTTTCTAGCCAAATAAATTTGGACAGTGAAGGTCCCTCATAGAATCGCTTTTTTTGTTGGGAGGCGGGTAGAGAATGTATTTTCACAATAGACAAGTTGATGAGAAGGGGGAAAGACCATGGTGAGTGGGTGTTATCTTTGCAAAAGTGCTGCTAAGTCATGCAACCATATTCTTCTTTTGTGATTGATGGCTATAATTTTTGGACAATGGTCTATGGCTTGTTAGGGATTAATTAATTATTGCTGCATTAGTGAGAGATGAGATTTGGGTATGAGAAGGAATTTATAAAAAGAAAAAAATTTGTAAAACTTATTCAATTGACTATTTTTTGGGTGATTTGGAAGATAAAAATAATAGGGTTCTTGAGGGGATCGAATGAGACATATATAAAATTAAGAAAAGATGGTTTCATTATTTTGCATCTTTAATTTGGGCAACGACTTGTATAGGATGGAAAATTTTTGGAATATTGTTGATATGCTAACAGACTTGTAAATATTATGTAAATAGGTGAGACTCTTTTGATATTGTTGATTTAGTATACTTCTTCTACATTTTATTGTTTTTTAAAAAAATTTATTCTAAGCCTTAGCCCATCCAATCGTTTTCCATGAGTTATAGTCCTAAAATTCACAAAAGGTGAAACAAAATCACTTTACAATTGAGGTCTTGAGACAACTTAGTTACTGATATTAGATTGGCGTACAAAGTTTTTTTTTTTGAGATGAAAATGAGTGAATTTATATAAAAAGGACGGCAAGGGCGCGTAACCCATATACATGTAGAAAAGGAATTTACATATTTGTGAGCATATCTACAATAGATCCAAAATCATGAAAAGTATTAAGGTTGTGACCTAGTTCAGTAGATCCAAAAAGGTGGAGGCACCTATCCTTGATAATGGCAAAGTTAGTTTCTTTACCCTAAAAAATCCTACAATTTCTTTCTTTCCATATGATCCATAATATTGTTAGAGGAATTAATCCATGCCACTTGTTACTTGTCTTAAGGCCTTCCCAAGCTGAGATTTCACGTTTAACAGACCCAGACATAACCCAGGAAATGCCAAGTAGTTTATAAATCATTGTCCAAAGCTCATAAGCCTAATGGTTCTAACTTCTGTTGTTACGGTTAGTGAATCATCAGCAGTAACAATTTTTTTAGTCCTAGGGCATGATAGATACGTGTTAGGAAATTAAGCGGGAATTGGTCATATACTATGTGGCTTCTGAGTCTATAATTCATGATAATACGAAAAGTTTATTTGAGATATTTAAACCATGAGAGATAGAAAGCATAACTGAATAGGCGAAGTAATCTATATCTTGCAATGTAACCTCCAATGTGATTTAATATTTTTAAGTTATTAAGACAAACTAAATAAGTCAAAAGAAAGAGATTACCGGTTGAACATAGTCAATAGCAGCTATGTGGCAGAAGTTGGCCGGTGCAGCAAGGCTAGTTTGAGCTGGACCCACAGAAAGCTGGCGGGTAGAGCTGTGCATGGTCTAGGCAGATGCACAAGGGCTAATGCGGCAGGGTAGGGCAGGTGCTCAGCAACTGGTGCACTAGGCAGACCAGGGATCTGGAGAGGCTGTGTGTGGCTGTTTGCAGCTGAACAGAAGGTGGCTGCTGGAGCTGTGCAAAGCAGGTTGTGTGCGACTTTGGTGGCTGCTCAGGGGTGTGGCTGGAGGCTGGTTGTTGGAGCAAAACACGGGCTAGAGGCTCCATTTGTAGTTGAGCTGCAAAGGGCAGCTGCTATTTGGCAGCGCAGCTGGTGGTGGATCGTGTTATTGCTACTGTGGCTCTTGGCTAGCTATTTTCCAGCTACCATTGCTGGTGGTGAGATTGGCAACGAAGGGTAGTTCCTTTAACATTTTTCTTATTTCAGCAATAAAAGTAAAAAAATGTTTATAAAAGAGTTTGACATTTTCTTAACCTAGAGTTCCGGCACCATATGCAAGAATGAATATATATTTTATTGAATATCATAATTCTATATATACATTTGAGCTTTTTTTTGTGTGGAAAAAATAGAAAGGATGTACTTTAATGCATTTGAAATTTTTTTTTTGAAATGATAATACGTTTTAACTTAATTACATATAATACACTCTTTAATAAATATAGCTAAGTATTTGCTCTGGTAGTTATACCATGGGATATTTATTTTTAGTGGATAACGAATACATGACAGACATCCAAAGCCATTACCTATTTAGGCAGCTATATTCTCTGTAAATAAATCTTCCTTTTCTTCTTAATCTCTGGATATCTCTATTCTGCTCCCTTAATATGAGTTTTGTCTCTGCTGTTGTTGGTTTTGGGATGAAACAGGAACACAACTCTTCCTAGAAGTAAGCTTGCTCTCTCAGAAATTTGGAGCTTAGCTAGTGCGGGCTGGTTGATTTATAAATAATTATCAAAATTGTGAACAGTTTTTGTATGATTAATTAAGCTTCTCGAGCTCCTTTTATTTGTATCTTTAAATTTTGGGTGGTTTGATGTGGAAATTAAATGCTAAATGCTTTGACTTTAATATCACACATATATACATACGGTTTTTGTCTCAGTTGCTTCCTTTACTTCTGGTCAAAAGGTGATACACTTCTGATTTCTTGCTGTTGTGGTTTTGTTGCAGCTGAGGCTCCTGAGGTTGCTGATACATCATGGTGAATGCCACTAAAGGACTTTTGATTTCCTGGTAATCATTATTGACAGCTATTTGTACAGAAACTAAAAGGACTTTGGTTTCATTTAGTTTGATATAAGGAAGAATAAAAATTGCATCAATCATCATTTTTTTGTTCCTCGTTCCCAACTTGGTTTTTATAGCTGAAAAGGATTGCGATGCATGTTGATGTTACAGTGACATACCAATGGCTCAATTCATTATCAATTTGAATGCTTCAATGCCAGCGTCTCAGAAGTTCATAATACATGTCTTGGACAGTACTCACATATTTGTGCAACCCCATGTTGCTGAAATGATTCGCAGTGCCATGGCTGAGTTCAGAGACCAGAATTCCTACGAGAAGCCTTCTTGACACTAAAATTTGAAGTTTTCCTTCCACAAAAGAAATTTCCATGTCAGACTGAAAATATTACTGCGTAAAACTAAGTACATCTTTTCCCATCTTGTTGGTCGTGAAACTGAAAGATATTTCCAGGGCTTGACTGAGCAAGATCAAGACCTTGTCAAACTCTGCAAAATAGATTATAATTTATTGCTCATCCATGCTATTTGGATGAGTTAAAGTCGAGTGCATATTTGCGCCATCCACGAGATTATTTAAACTTATAGTTTTTGTCAATAAATAATTATTATATTATAATATTTATTGTTAAATTTATAACACAATTAATATTACTAATGAATAACTATTATTATATAATATTTTATCATCTTATATTTATTATTAATTTTATAATATAATTAACTTAATATAATAGCAAATTAACTTAATATAAATTAAATTTTAATAAAATATTCTATTAATTTTAATTAAATCTTTATTAAATATATATTTTTTCTTTTACAGTAGCTCACAAAAATGAGAAAGCCCAGCAGATGAAGACGTTTCCCTCGAGTTGGAGACATGAGTTAAATGATAGAGTTAGACATACGGTTCGTCATCTCTAATTACCCAAACCCCTCCATCCTCTCTCAACGAACGCCTTCTTCTTCTTCTTCTTCTTCTCTGGGCGAAAAAGTTTATTCCTTAATAAATGGCAGTTTCTCTTAATGTAAACCTTCACCAACCTTCGCTTAGGTGATTCACTCTCTCTGTCTGTTCTCTCTCGATGTCCCTCTATCTGTATTTATTGAATTCAGAACAAATTTTCGCATGCAATTTGGATATTGATGTTTTCGGGTGTTGGGATTTTATTTTTTGGCAGCTGTAGAACCAAGCTTTATTCTGGATTAAAGCTTCAATCTCCAAGTTTGCTCGTTTTCTTCACTCTGCTTGTTTTTCGATTTTTTTTTTTAATTCTTTCCATACCATGGCAATTAATTCAGCTTTCCCTCTCTCTCTGTTATAGGTTTATTTCAAACTGAATATCCTAATGTGAGTGCAGAATTCTATGGCAGAGTTCATAAGAGCCTCCAGTGCAGGTAACTAGACGTTCCTAATTTTTCTGTGCGAGGTTAATACTGCTTTTCTTTTCACTGCAAGAAAAATGGTACAATTAGAAACTAATATTAAGGTTGAAGAATTATTCATTTCGTTTAACATTGGCACTTAAGTTTTGCTTATGTTTGATGGGTTCAGTTGACTTAAGCTCAGATAGTATGATGAAAATTTATTTGTTGGTCATGACATATTTCTCTATATGAGAGCAATCAGCATAACTGGTTTATGCGCAAATAGGAATACTTAATCTAATTTTACCCACATTTATCCACTCTGCAATTCTTTTATATATATATATATATATATATATATACTTCCTACAGTTAAGAGTTCCATAAGTTTTATGATAACTACCTGAAGACTACAGTCAACTTCGATGGGAGCTTCTTTAAAGGCAATAAATGCTACAAAAGACTCTCTACCTCCAACTGCATTATAGAGTACAAAAAGAAAGTGATTCTTTCATGTACTTAAAAAATCCTATCATTTTGATAGTTTCAATTACATGGAGAAGCACAAATATCTTGATTAGTCCACCTGTTAACACATAGGGTCCCCATTAGCATATCTTGTGCCCATTTGGAAATGGGGCCTAATAGCTTGAGATGAGATTTTCCTCTTGAGCCTCTGGAGATAAAGGTTAAAAGTCCCTTCTCTTTTTAACAGTGTTACATTTTGCTATTTTAGCGGTTTCATTTCATTGCCTGCAGAATTAATCATAGACCAACAAGGTCACGAATTGGAATGATGCCTATAGGGACTCCAAGAGTGCCTTACAGAAAACCAAGCGGAGGGAACTTGGCAGTGGGTGGATATATGGAATGCCCCTGGTAAGTTATCTGCTATTTTTACATTTAGAAGAGTGCCAGGATGGTCCAGTTACTTAAAAATCATTTGTCTGTTTAAATATGAGCATTGCAACCTCAATTGTCACCTTACAAATCTTTCTTAGGACCAAATTGTTTAACTGATGCCAACTACCTGTGCTTTTATCTCTCTCTCATATCTAGTTACTCCTGTTCAAGTTAGCACTTGGCAGTTCATCTATAAAAAGAGGTTTAAGTTCCACCCCCTACACTCTGTCAAATTTGGTTTCCTAGCCATATAGAATGTTATATGGATACAACAATGCATGTGTTTTTTGGACTTCTCCTTCCTGTGGGTGTCAAGTTTCCATGTAATTCTGTGCTTGATAATATTCTGTAATATGGGTAGGAGAAAGTAACTAATTTGTTTGATGCAGTATCGAGAGCGTGTCATTTTCATTGGACAACACATAGATGAAGAATTTAGTAACCAAATATTGGCAACAATGTTGTACCTTGACAGTATTGATGATTCCAGAAGGATTTACTTGTATATAAATGGCCCTGGTGGTGATGTGAGTTCTTTGTACCTTTTATTTTTCTCTCAAATGAATTCCTTGGCTTCTGTATTGACACCATTTTTTCTCTCAACTGAAAACTTACTCCATCTACAGATTACTCCGAGCATGGCTATCTACGACACCATGCAAAGCTTGAAGAGTCCAGTTGGCACCCATTGTGTTGGCTATGCTTATAATCTAGCAGGCTTTCTTCTTGCAGCTGGGGAAAAGGTATTGTTTGTTTAACAGAGAAAATGAGTGATAATATTACATGCATCCTGAATCTTACAAGGTAGATGCTGTGGTGAAGACCAAAAGGAAGTCATTTTGTTAATTGTTTTGTTTTATATGTTGACTGAAGAGAAATATGGGTGATAATGTTACATGTATCTCAAATCTTATGAGGTAGATGCTGGGATGAAGGCCAAAAGGAAGTCCTTTTGTTAATTGGATTGTGCTGCATTATTTCAAAAAAAAAAAGGCATTGTGCTACATATTGAATGAAGTCTAAAATTCTGTTTCAATTTGATTATTTGCTGTACAAAGGGCAATCGATTTGCAATGCCTCTTTCAAGAATTGCTCTACAATCTCCAGCTGGATCAGCCCGTGGTCAGGTATGATTGTTTAGAACAAAATGAAAAGTTACAAATTACAATATGCCTTTTTAGTTGTCCCAATTAGCACATTTTTATTTTTAATCAAGACAATTTGCCTAATTTTTTGAGTTGTCTCAGTTAGCACCCATAAATTTGATTGAGAAATTTTACTCTAAATTTTAGGCATATGACCGTAAGTATGTGTTTTACATGTGGAGTACTTTTAAGGGCAAAAGATAGTTCTGTATAATAACTGTAACAACTACTTTTGTGCAAACGGCTACTTTTCTCTATAAAGTAGTTGTACAAATCTCTAAGTTTTCCCTAAAATTAATGTTTAGTTTTTTACAAAAGTGCATATTGTAAAAATTGTCTTAATTAAAATTAGAAGTCTTGATTGAGACAAATACTAAAAAAACAAGGTAAAAGATTTTCTCAATTAAAAATGTGTGAAGACAATTCCATAAGTATAGGATGATCCTTTCGCAAAGGAAGCTCTTCTAGATGCTTTTCTATAGAGGGAAAAAAAAAAGAGAAATGGAAATAACTTATGTTTTCATTTTGATGCAAATATGTGACTATACTTGCAGGCGGATGACATTCGTAATGAAGCAACTGAGCTTCTTAGAATTAGAGATTATCTCTTCAATGAATTGGCAAAGAAAACTGGCCAGCCTATTGAAAAGGTTAGTTTGCTCTATGCCAACTTCTCCAGTGTCTTGTAGTTCGTTTGCTTGATGAATTGAGCTTTTGTGTAAACAAGTCTGATCCCATTTCGTATTCAAATCTGATATTGCTAGTCAAATTTCAGTTTCTCCTATATGTAAAAAAATTCCCATTTTCCTATACCCAAAAAAAAGTTTCACTTTTTCGTCTTTTCCACACTTCAGTTTGATATTCATTACAACAGAAAATACGGAGTAAGATCAGTTGTTGTTTAACTGTTCATACAGGTTAACAAAGATTTAAGTAGGATGAAACGCTTCAATGCTCAGGAGGCTCTTGAGTATGGGCTTATTGATCGTATTGTGAGGCCACCACGTATAAAGGCTGATGCACCTCGGAAAGACACAACTGCTGGTCTTGGTTAGCTTTTATGCATATTCTCGCCAATTGACTGATAGCTGTAACAACTATTAGTATGTACGCTAAGATTATCTACTTGTACAACTTGCTGATTTGTTATGAAATTTTTGCATTGGGGCTTGCAATGATTTTGATGATGAATCTCCCAGTGTCGGAGAATTGTAAAATTTCCCAACCTTTCTATGGTCTCATCTTCAAATCCTAAAATACATAAGCATCCCAAAGCAATCACAAGGTTTTGTGGTGCTCGCATGACGTTCTTATAGCAGATGCAAAAGTTAGCAGCTAGGGATAGTAAGGGACTATAGTTATAGCAGGTGCAACAGTCTACTGATAATCAATCACGTAGGTCTGAATATATTCTTTGGTCACCAATCTATTTTATCTCTCGACAGTTCCATTAGGTTTAAATTTGACTGTGAACAACCATCTGTAGCCTACCGGTCTTTCCTCTTGGTTTGATCCACTACTTCCCCAAGTCTCATTTTTTTAAGTACTCGCATGTTAACATTCATAGTAATTTTCAATTTCTCACTTATTAAAACCTCAGATAATGTCTTGGAAATGGATATTGTATTCAGACTTTATAAGAAATTTTTTGTTAGGTAGGGAATAGTTTTCAAAAGACATAAAGTTGGAAGTTAGACAGAGGGGATGTGTAGTGGATTTTCTAGTTTAATTTTTAAGTGCATTAGGTATATCAGCATCAAAAGAACAGTGATTCTCAGAGTTGACTTTAACTTTCAGTGTCTAGCTCAGATTCTTGAACTTGCTTTGGACCAAAAGTCGGAGTTTTTCCTTCTTAAATACACTTGGGTAAAACGTATGTCCTATATGAGTTGAGGTTCAAACTCATTTTGTGGGGTTTGAGGTTCAAGCTCATTTTATGGATTTTGATCTTTCGGTGAGATGCTAGACTTAGATAATATTGACAAAAGTGTTTACAGACGGGAGAAATGTCAAAAAATGAGTTTCCCATGTCTTTCCTATCTTCAAGTATAGTCCTCTCCTGAAGATAAAATTGGTGAAAGAAAGACTCGGTCTCAACAAACATCATATTGGCTTATACATCAATTTTTTTATGGATGGATAATAACACTTATCTTTTTGAAGTGGATAAATATTCCACAAAGACACACTTGATGGCTTAGGGTTGAATTTTCCTTTTTGTGAATGATGTATGTTAATATAGGTAACACATACAAAGACAAAAGGAATAAGGTTATTGGTGACTCGTACCTCTGGAAAGAATATGGCTAGAATTTTCTTTGGGCTGCAGAAGTATAGGACTTCAAATGGTAACCAATTGATAATATATGTGGTAGTTAATACAGCTTCCCCCAGTACTCTTTAGGTACATGGTTTTAAAATAAGAAGGCACGTATGGTACTAAAGAGGTTGTTATTTTTTCTTTTTTTTTTCTTCCTTTTGAAAGGAGGTCAAGGTCTGGTTAAAGTAATCTCGAATATTACCAGTCCTAAAACATTTAATTGTAACTCCAAATTATGTTTTAATCATAGTATGAAAGTGGAGAATGATATGAGTAAGCTCAGTTTTAAATTTCAACAGGAAAAACTTAGTGACCGGAGTACAGTCATCAACAAAAGAAATAAACCACTGTGTTCTAGAGATGTTAGGAACATTAAAAGGACCCCAACATCACTATGAATTAATTAAAAAGGAAAACTACTTCTTTTATTACTAGGAGTAAAGGTTACATGCCATTGTCTTGCCAGTTCATATACATTATAGTGTAAACTCTCATTATTGTAACTAGAGAATAAAGAGAAAAACATGACCTTGAGGGTGGAGAAAGAAAGGTGCCCTACCCTCTTGTAGTACAACCATAGTTCATCTAATGTGCTGGTAGAGAGAATGGTGTTAGATACATCAAGTGTATCCAAGAAGTATAATCTATCGTGAGCATTAGACACGTTCAATCATCCTCCTTGAACTCTAGTTCTAAAATTCACAAAGAGAATGAGAAAAAAATTACTTTGCAATTAAGATAATGAAATAATTTGGTTACTGATATAAGATTTGTACACAATTTAAGTACATGAAGAACATCCTGAAGAGTAAGATGGGGATTAAGATTTATGGTTCCAATTCACAATATTATGGTTAGTGAACCATCAACAGTGGCAATTTTCCTATTGCTGGAACATGAAGCATAGATCCTGTGCCAGTAGATTGAGACGTAGCTTTTAACCTCTGTAAAGAATAGGTGGGTAGGCGAGCTGCACATGGCTGGAGTTAGCTATTGAGCAGTGGTGCACGCACTGGGAAGAGGTGCAGTCGGCTGTGTGGGACCTGCAGCTGAGCAGGGAGGTCAGTGGAGCAAGGACGCTGGAGTTGGGCTGTGCTGGAGCAGTGTTGTGTGCAGCTGGGACGCAGGGCTGAGCTGGGAGTTGCTTGCGTCTGGTTGGAGGCTGGAACTGGCACAATAGGGTGGCAGGTGGAGCTGGAACAGCAGGAGAAGCAGCTACAGCTTGCAGCTCTGTTTTATGGCGGCTGCCATAGGTGAAGGGCAGTTTAGTTGCTGTTGGTGGACAGTTGTCGTGGCCGGCTATGAAGGATGGTCTCACCTCTTTAGGATTTGTTTTAGGCAATAAAAACCGGATATGGTTTGTAAAAGAGTTCTAAAATTTTTCAAACACAAGGTTCTAATACTATGTAGACGAATGAGCTGTGTATCTCATTGAGTACTGGAACTATATATACAGTTCCTAGCAATCATACAAGGAAACTCAATTAATTACGAAGATTACATAGAAAAGGTATATTATCATACTCACTTAGACAAGTACATTTGCCAACAATAAGTAATTGTAACTTATACTCTTGAGAATTGGATGATAACAAGATCCGATGTCAAGAACAGTTACTTATTGCCAACAATAAGGAATTGTAACTTGTACTCTTGCCAACAATAAGAAGATTGAGGAATTTTCAAAACTTAGAGAGAGAAAGAGAGAAAAAGCACTGAGAAACGCACGTGAGGAGGAGAGAAGGGGTAGCAGATAGGAAAGAAGGGGCTGGTGGTTAAGTTAAGGAGGTCTTTCGGTCGGCCAGCTGGGCCAACCAGCAAGGGTGGAGATCATGGCAGGTATCGAAAACAACCAGTACTCTTGCCAACCAGTAATTTTAACTTGTTTTTTTGGTAATGGAAAACAAGTCTTTTGATGTAATCTGTGAAGGGAGGAAAATGGAAGGTATGAGAATTTGTGAAAATGGAAAAGGCTTCCAGTTTTTGATATCTTTGGAGGAGGAAGTGGCCTGGATCATTGGTGCCTTCGAAGATTTTCTACTGGAGAAAGAAAGGAAAACATGGGGGAAGCATATGCAGGGAAGCATATTCCAGGTTTCGAAATGAGCATTTTCTCTGGAAAAGAAGAGAAAGAGAAACGAGATAATGTGGTTTCAGAGGTCAAATTTGCCGAGATACATAATATCAACTTACATAGAACTGATTCTGGAAACTCTCCTTCAACCTTCCACCCCTCCATGTAAGGGTTGACATTGGCCATG